ACTGCTTTATTTTTGAATGGAACTTCTTTATAATCTTTTTCGTCATTATCATTTTCTGTAAATGTTCCATCTTCAAACAGTCCCTGCTGATAATTTGTTGATCAACTCATTTTTCCTGTGAGACATAATCGAGTTTTGAACCCATGAGTAAAATCAAATCGGTCATTGAAAATATTTATTATTTGCTCCCTAAGTACTCCAAGAGTATTGATTGGGTCTTGTGCGTATATGCTTTCTTTTCCTATCTCAACTTGGTAATGATTGTCTAATAATTCACATCCTAAACTAATAATATCCATTTGATGAAATTGCGAAATAGGTTCTAATATTCCTAATGCTTCAAGGTATTCTCTTTCAACCTCTGGAGATAAGTTAGCCTCTGAATGACTGCTTTCACCAATTTCTGAGGAATCAAATAACCCCAATGCATCGAGATATTCTATTTCTGGATCGGGTGGTGGAACTGGATCTTGATTTGGTAAATCTTGTGGACGGCATGGATTTCTTGTACTAGCATAATGTGTTCTAAGTTTTTGGGGTGTTGAATATGTAAACACACAGCTTTCACATGTTCGATTTTGTTTACGAGTCATTGATAAAAATATTGGTTTTATATTATACTTATAAAAAATCTTTTGTTCAAATTTAAATTTTACCTTATATAAAAATACCTACTAATATATAAAATTGGTTAGAGTGTTGTCCTAATTTTTAGTACACGAATTTTAGTACCATTGTTATATATTCTAGTTATAAAATTGGTTAGAGTGTTGTCCTAACTTTTTTGCGATATATCACTATATATAAAATTGGTTAGAGTGCTGTCCCAACTTTTTTCGTTATATCAATATATATATAAAATTGGTTAGAGTGTTGTCCTAACTTTTTTACGATTTTTGCTATCAATGATAATAATAAAACTTTAAAATATACTGTTATAGAATATTGAAAATGTGGTTAGAGCGATGTCCTAACTTTTTGGTTAGAGTGTTGTCCTAACTTTTGGTTAGAGTTGTACAAAGGTTAATGAGAAATTGAACGTGGTATAGAATAGTAATTTTTTTTGTTAATGTAAATAAAGATAAATCGTGAAAATATTAAATTGTAAATAAACTTTGAATTGATATAAATCTTGATGATTAAAAGTAAAATGAAAACTAAATAGTTAACTATGCTTTACTTCGCTCCGCAACTGTTTCGCATTCACCCTTTGGGATTCATGTTCCACAGAAACAGAAGACTAAATAAAGTTTAGAAGAGAATTAGAATAGTAAAGAAAATGATATTAAATTTAAGCTTGCTGATACGCGTCACACTCAGCTTCAGGACATTCGTCCTTTAGCTTCCTATTCCTTTTTTTATAGCAACTAGAGTAGTAATATGAAGATGTGGCCAAAAAAATAAATCATGCCGCATTCGAGTGTGGCTCGAAAAAATTAAGCAAAATAGTATAAAAATCGATATAAGAAAAAAGCTTCCAGTGTGGCGAAAAAAGTAAAATGCTATACAAATTCTGGTTAAGGTTTTGTCCCAATTCTCTCATAAATATACTACTAAGGGGACGAATGCAAATTATATAAAATTTTCTCTCTGTCCTGTAGAGTTATAACACAAAGGGGGTTTTCAGAATTCCGTTTATTTTTCTTAAATAAAATACCATTTTCTACTATATACTGGGTTGCTTGTCTTGCTAATTTTTGTTTTTGTTGTAGAGTTAATTCAGGTGGATAATTATGTCGAAGTAAGTAATCAATAAATTTATTGTACACTTTCAAGTCCATGATAAATGGTGTACTTATAAATATATATAAAAAGGATTAAAATAAAAGAAAAAGAAGACTATCTACTGGATTAGTTTCTAATCTTGAGAGTGCATCTACATTTGTATAATTACTTCCTTTTCGTTTAATAATGTTATAAGGTTCATATTCAGACAAATGAATTGTCCACCAGGCTAGACGTCCTTTAGGTTGCTTGTGTTTCTTTAACCAAGGAATAGCTTCATGATCAGTAACAATACTGAAATTTT